CCCGGGGCGGCCGGGCCTGCTCCAGGGCAGCCCCTTCCAGCGGCACCGCGGCCCCGGTGCGCAGGCCCGGTCTGCGTTCGCCGCCCGCGCCTTGCGAGCCCAGCACGGGGGCTGCCTGCGGCCTCGCGCTGCCCGCTGTGCTGCTGCGCAGGCAGCTCCGGGGCTCGGTGTCATTCACAGCAGTGAATGTTCCACGCGTGTGTAGCAAAGAAAGGTAATAGCCTCCTCTGCCTGCAGCAGAACCAGATCTATCAACTTCTCTTTATATGATCCTGAAAAATGTAGACTTGTGGAGAAAGATGTATTCTGCAGACTGTCTTCATTTGTATGCTGTTGTTGTAGGGGACAAGGCTACCAGAGAAAGATGTGGCAAATGTTGTATGTGAGACTTGCCATTTTTACCCATTGCTGTTGCAATGGATGTGCTAAATGCAGGGCCTGCCCTGCGTGATGGTGCAGGTGTCCCAGCTTTCCATGGGGTGTGCATGTGTGTCACGTCTTCTAGCTTGTGTTTAGGTGAGGTTTATGTGAACACATCAAAAAAAGAGATGAAAATTATGGATAGGGATGAAATATCCAGATAACAAATTATGATTAGGAATGAAAAATAAGTAACAAAAATGCAAGTAAGGAAAATCCTGTAGTCTAAGCAACAGTTTTACAATTTGGTGTCATTCAGCTGTGTGTCTTTTTACTTTATATGAAAAACAAGTTCTGGTTTATATGTATATATTTTTGCTCTTACTAAAGATTTTCCCACACCACTTGTAAGGATCTAACAGGATCCTCACCAGGATCTCCTGGTGAGGAGAACATCCATTTTCACATCTCTAGCACTGCCACTTCCGTAGCAGTGAGAATCACTGGGGAATCTAAGTGAAGAGAATTGACCATTTTATCATACTCCGGTTTCTTACATTGCAATTGAACGTCATATCTGGTAGATGCTAGAATGAAATTTAATACTTGGACTAAACTTGGGACTCTTCCTCTTGCCTCCACTCTTGTCACGTTTCTTTTCTTTGTTCTGAAAGTAAAATCTTCCATTGCAGATGCCAATCTCGTAGCATGTTAATTTTATACTAATCTACTAGATGTGTTCAGGGGATCGTGATATTAGGGCATGGTGCTCTAGCCACTGTGATGCCTCTTGTATTTTCTTACTAGTGTCAATCAAAAATATCAATGTTCACTTTTTAAAAATTATTTTTTACTAAACAGTAAATCCTTTGCCCTGTCAGGATGAGCAAGATGACAGCAATAGTTGAGGTGCATCCTGCAGCCCTGAAGGCTGGTGAACAGTTTCTCTTTTGCTGTTAGATCCCTTCTGCTAAGGGTTACTGTACTGTTGTGTAGTTTGGATCCAGCTGTAGCTTTACCAGAAATTGCACTATAGCACATGAGCAAGCTCACCAAAGAGACTGAGATTTTGTAGCCTAAGGTCATTTTCTTAAATCTAAAAAATAAACTCTCCAGTTTTATAAAGGTGTGCTTGCCACATCACCCACTGTCAGAGCCCTTCACATGGAGTCTCATTTGTGACAAAGCTTCCCTTTTTTTCCGCTTTTTGTTTATAGAGAACAGCGGGACAGAGAAAAAAGAGTTGGGCAGTGATTCGGCTGTGCTCCCCATGGTGTAAACAGATTTCCCAATGTTTAATCACGCAGGGGCAGCCGGAAGCGGGCGGCTGGGTGTCCTCCAGCGCGGTGAGCTGTCACCCTCTGGGCGCAGCTCGTGAGTCAGGACATGTGGGGCTGCTGGTGCTGCTGAGTCATGAGCTGCCCCTGCCCCACGTGGCGCTTTCATGTGGCTCCCTCACAAACCCGCCTTTCCTTTTCATCCCGGGACAAAGGCCCGATAAAGGTCCTAGGCAAGTACCGCAGGGTTCACCAAACCGAAAGTTGCCTCCGGTGAGAGCACCCTTATGAAATAACACATTTCAAATCATTGCCTTTCTCCTCAGTTCCGCTTCAGCTTTTTAGGTGAGAGGATCTGGATTTCCTACTGCTGGAAGAAGATAGGGTCCCAGAACAGGAACCACTGAGATACATTTATTGTTGGACTTAATACCAACAGAAAGGGGGTTCACAGGCTCCATGGCTTGCTGGCTTGCACTGACACCTGGCAAGGCTGCCGTGGAAGTCAGGCATTAGAGCCCAGCAGCTAAAAATGCAGCATGCAGCCATAGCTCAACTCTGGAGAACACTGGCGGATCAAAGTGGGAGGCAGACACCCAACCAGGAGAAAAATAACAAAAGCCATGGGTAGGACAGGTGGAAGAGAAGCATAAAGTCCTGCCAAAAGGTTATTTATATCTTCAGCCTTGCTTCAAACTGTTACGGTGACGGACCACTCTTAGGATACCTTTTACCGCTTACTGAGCTTGTGCACCGAGTGACCGTGGGCGTCAGTGCCATGACTTGGGCAGCTCGAGGGCAGCATTTGTAATGACATGTTCTGTGTGATGCCTGGAAGAGATTTTGTGCATCTCTGCTATCCCTAAAGCTGTAAATACTTAAATTTCCCTGACTGAAGCAGGAACAGCCTTAGCCTCCAGCTAAGCATTGATGGGAATCCTATTTTGAAAACTTTTTGTTTACTTATAATGACCCCCATTAGTATCATGGGTGATGGGGGGGAAAAAAAGTTAAAATGAATCTCTGTCTCTTCTTTCCCCTCCTGCTTGTTCATGAAGAGCTTGTTGAGGAAGGGTCAGCCCTGACACTAGGGTTTGTAAGAACAGTAGATGCAAAGGCTACTTCTGAGAAACTTGAAAGTTGGAGTTTGAATATGTGTTTTGGAGCTGCCTTACCATATATTTGAATGCTTAAATCTCCCAGTATGAGAGTCTTAAAAAAAAAAAAAAGTCTTAAAGAGTTAACTTTTCTAGATAGCAGTTCCTCCTGCTACTTATGGTGAAGCTTCAGTGTGTGATTAGTCAAGATGTCCTCGGAGTTTTGCGCAGCTGCTCCTTGGATTTCTTTCTGTACATCCAGCAGAGTCGCTTGCCTACAAAAATTATAGCCAAGATATTGCACTAATTATCTCTCAAATTGCTAGTCTGACTTTTGGGATAATGCGTGTTGATGAAGAACAGAAAACATTGTGCAATAATCAGTAATTTTGCAGCATTCTGATAAAATTAATCCTTCTGTGAACTGTTCTGGTATTGGTTTTTAGATTCATCTTTAGTTGAACAATCAGTATATAATAGTTGTTGCAGAAAGCATTTAAATGTGGTTACTATTTCATTCATACGTGCTTTTAAACAAAATTTGTATTGTTGTTTCATTTTGTATTCTCCTCTACCCTTTCCTTTTATGGAAAAAAAAGAAAGTAGAAACGTCAAGGAAAATATTTAAATCCTGTTTGAAAATACTGGACTATTGGATTATTGGAGCTGTTGGAACTACTTTATGAAAATTTTTCAAAAGCTATTTTTTAATGAAAAATACATGTTCAAAAGCATTGGAAGAGCTTAGTATTTTCTATTATAGCTTCTTTAAACAAAGTGAAAAAATTTGCATTTTACAGTAGCAATACAGCTGTTAGTACTGAATAGTATAAAATTAAGTACTAATTTAGGTAGATTTACTTTAGCAGGATACATTCCTATACCACAGTTAAGTGTGTTCAGTGATTTCCACCAAGGTAGTTCCATGGATAAGCCTGGCAAGACTCTTCTATAGTCAGGGCCTCAAGGGATACCTAGCCCAGGGTTTAATTCAATGTTTAACCCATTTCTCTCCATAATCGTGCAAGTTAAATACTGGACCTTTGGCCAGTGCGAAGCTTAGGTGCTGGGAGAAGCAGAAATCCTGTTGTCTTCTGAGCTTGAACCTTCTAGTAATTGAGTTCAGCAGCCAAGGCGTGACTTGAGTTTGTGTTGTTGGCTTTGTCTGAAGCTTTGTTTTCCATCCCATTGTTATGGACTATGCGATAGACGCCAAGAAAAACGTCCTTTGGGGATTAGAAATAAGACAAGGACCAGATGGACTGATACAATCCAGGATAAGAGTATTTGGGTATTTGAGTATATGTTCTCAGCTTTCCTTTTGTGTACAAATACTTATCCCAGAGTTGAAGCATTTAAGTGGCCATAACTATATTAAGTTTCACTTGTAGGCATGAAAGGACCAAGACGAGCAGTGATGGGTATGGTAACATCAGCAATCTTGCCCATGGTCCCCAGGGCTCTGTCCTCTCTCCCTCCACAGGAGAGCACCAGAGGGATGAGGAATTGGGCTGGGCATGAGCCGCGTGCGGGCCTGGTGCGGCCGCCGGCACTGCCAGCGCATGGGCAGGGCCGG